TTCCAGAAACATCCATCACCTTTCCCAGGGGACCTGACCCCCGCCCCCAGCCTTGCTCTGGGCACCCCCTCCCCCCCATCTAGGGACACCCCAGTTCTGCTCACACTCCCACCGTGGTCTCCTCCAGCCACCTCCGGGCCCTCCTGCGCTCCAGGCCACGCAAGCCCATTTATCCCGTTTGCCACACGGTTGAGCATCGTTTTGTTCAATTGAGCAATTATCGGACGCCTGTGTGCAGGCCCTGGCCGCTGCCTGTGTGGGCTGCTGAGTTTCCCTCCCAGAGGCATTCTGGAACCTTCCCAAAACAAAAGGTGGAAGGAAGGAAGGAAGTGCCACCCTGTGGACACAGAAAAGATGACAGTCCCTGCATTAGTCTCGGTGTGCGGACGGCCCCCACCGAAACCCATTCACAGAGCCCGGGGAGTCGGGGATTAGCGTGTCCCCCTTGCAGGGGGGTCTTCAGGCTCTAAGGTGCTCAAGGTCCTCCAGCCAATCAGTGGCAGAGCCAGGATCTGAACCCGGGCCACCTGGCCCAGTCCGTGCTCTTCACCTCCCCAGGATCCCGACACCCCCAGGCCCTTTCCTGCCCCTCTTCACTTCGCCCTATAAGGCACCATCTCCCAGCCTCCCTTACCACCAGCTCCAGCAGCTGTCTGTCTCCTACAGGGTTTGGGCTCCTACCTGCCGCACCTGTCCCACCTGCCCCCACCTGCCCCCCCAGCCCACCTCTCCCCTCCTGCCCTAACCTGCCCCACCAGCTCTACCTGTCCCCACCTGCCCCCCACCCCCACCTGCCCTCACCAGCCCCCAAGCTCCAGTCACACCACCTTCTCCTCATCCTGGTACTGGGGGTGCGGGAGGCTTTCTGCTATTGATTATTTCAGGTTGCCTCGCTGTCCCCCATTTGGTCTTCAAAGCTTTTTAAAATTATTTTTTATTGTGGTCCAATATACAAAACATAAAATTCACTATAACCACATGTAAGTGCACAGCTCAGTGAAATTAAGCACATTCACAGTGTTGTGCAACCGTCACCACCGTCCACCTCCAGAACTTTCTCACCTTCCCAAACTGAAACTCTATTCCCATAAATACTCCCCGTTCCCCTCCCCAGCCCCTGGCACCCACCATTCTACTTTCTGTCTCTATGAATCTGACAAAGATCACACAGTATTTGTCCTATTGTGTCTGGCTTGTTTCACTGCATATTATGTCCTCAGGGTTCATCCATGTTGTAGCGTGTGTCAGAATTTCCTTTTTAAGCCTGAGTCATCGTCCACTGCATGGGTGGACCACCTTGTGTTGATCCATTCATCCTGTACAGACACTTGGGTTGCTTCCACCTTTTGGCTCTTGTGAATCATGCTGCTGTGCACGTGGGTGTGCAAATTTGAGTCCTTGCTTCCACTTCTTTGGGGCACAGGCCCAGGAGTGGAATTGTGGCCTCGTACAGTCATTCTATGCTTTTTTTCCCCCTGAGGAATCTCCATACATTTTCCACAGCATCACACTTATTCTCACCCACAGAGCACGAGGGTTCCACTTTCTCCACATCCTTGCCCACACTTCTTTGTTTTTAGTTTGTACTTTTTTTTGGCAGCTGGCCAGTACAGAGTTCTGAACCCTTGACCTTGGTGTTAGAACACGGTGCTCTAATCAACTGACCCAACCGGCCAGCCCCCGCTGGGTCTTTTATACTTAGTTCCCTGCATGAAATTCCGTCTGCTGTGGGCTCTGTGTTCCTGACCACGTCCCAGTACACACCAGGACTGTCTTCAACGCAGGCCAAATCCAAGCGTGTGAAGCCGAGGTGTTGAGGGGGACAGTAATACATGTGCCCGGATGCCCGTGGTTCCAGCCAGATGTTCTCTGTATGGAATTTTGAGTCCAGAGTTTCAAGGACTTAACAATCATTAGCATTCGTGTTGTGGCATCTCTTGATTTTCAGATCCTAGCAGTGAACTTGGTAGTCACATTTTTATTCTATTGTGCCAACCACTCTAGGGTCTGAAGGGAAAAGTCCTTCACAAATATCCCTGTGCGTTGACAGAGCACCGCTCCTTCAGTCCCAAACATTCTTGGTCCCCCATATCCTCACATGACCAGGTCTTTGTCATTCTATTGGACTCAGCTCAAATGTCACCTTCTTAGAAAAGCCCTCCTGGGCCCCTCCCTAAATAAAGGAGCCTCCTTCCTACCAGTCACTTCTCATGACCCTGTTTAATATTCTTCTAGAATATTCTTCAAAAATGTAATAATTTGAATCTATTTTTGGTTTGAATCTATTTTTCTTTTTTTTTCTTTTTCGTTCTAAGCAGAGGAGGAACAGGACTCAGGTGCTCATGGGCACCCTCTGGTGGCTCCACCTAATGTGGAACGAAAGCCAAAGTCCTCCCTGTGGTCCACCAAGCCCTGTCACCTCCTCCCGCTCCCCCTGCCTTGCTCTCCTGGCACACTGGCCTTCTCTGAGCTGCTCAAATGCACCAGGCATGGTGCATCCCCAGGGCCTTTGCATGGGCTGCCCCCTCTTACACCAGACACTCCTGCTCAGAGAAGCCCACCCCGACCTCCTCACCTAAAACCACCTCCCTCGTATAACTTCGTATAATGTATGCTATACCACGCTCAGCCAGTGAGCTAACCGGCCATCCCTATATGGGATCCGAACCCGGGGCCTTGGTGTTATCAGCACCGCACTCTACCAAGTGAGCCACAGGCTGGTCCTGAATCTATTTTTCCTTCTAAAATGTCAGCTCCTTGAGGGCAGGGGGACTCTCATTTCCTCTAGTCATTGTAGTGTCACGTTCACATGCCTAGAACAGGGCCTGGCACACAGTAAGTGCTCAATAAATGTCTGTCAAAAAGATGAGTGAAACAGCAGAGATGTGACAAAACCCCAACTCAGAGAAGCACCCAGCAGAGCGCAAAATTAACCAGCTAGGCATATTGTCACCCCCCTAAGCCCCGGACCTGTGGCTCCCCATGCAGGCTGCAGCCAGCTCTGAGCTCTGGGAAAATATTCCCTTTCTGGATCCTTCCCCCCAGGGAGTTCAGCCTATGTACAGATGGAGGAACCGAGCCAACAGAAGAAAGTGCATCAGGTTTAGTCAAATGGTTCATTTAAGAAATTTAATCCATCACAGTAAGACAGTCAGGCTATAAAAACATTCTATACAGTGGTTTAAAAGGCGATACCCATGTCCCAAAGGCCACCCATACGTAAAACATGGACATCATCCTCCTGAAAAGCGTTGCCCACAGTCCAGTTCGTGCAAATAACCTCTGTACATAAAGATGAGGCACGTCAGAGACAATCATCCCCAATGTAGAGCCTCTAGAGGAGTCACGTGAACGCAGCAGACAGGGTTTGCAAAAATAAATAGATTATATATATATATATATGTATATGTATGTATGTATAAGTGACAACTGTTTCAACAAATATACAAAGTGCAAACATAACAAAAAGCCTCACTATGTGTCCGGGATTTATGTACATGCTTCAGGAAGAGAAAAGCTGGTCACAGCTTCTTACAGAGTGGGGCACAGTGTTTGTCCTTGAGTAGGGAGCAACTGACATTCCCTTCAGACGTCTTCATGCAGAAATCCTAGGGAGGCTGCCACTGTCCCTTGGGTCATAAATGCACTGATATCATTGGTGGCAATATCAGAAAGAATTCATGTTTCAAAAGTCCCATCAAGGGCTGGCCGGTTGGTTCAGGTGGTGACACCAAGGTCAAGGGTTCGGATCCCCGCACCAGCCAGCCGCCAAAAACAAAACAAGTCCCACCAAATGACCAAGACCGGAGGATTGCTTACAAGGCTGGAATGCCACACGCATTCCAGATGTGTACTCAAAACAATACCGGGTCCTGTCAGGGGAATCAGTGGCACAGGGGTATTTGCATAGAAGTGGACACTCTGTGGAAACTAAACAAGCAGATGTAAAGACAACAGAAAATGGCAGTTCCAGACATTCCCAATCACGGCATTCAAGTCCTGGTCAACCCAACCCTTTCTTCCACGTGCTCATCGACATGGGCCAGCTCCAGCCTGGCATCCCACCCAACACATACGACAGAAAACAGTGCAAAATAATAACACGAATGCTGCATTTACACAATGTACAACCCTGAACTGGAAAAAGTGCAAGGAGACACAAAAAGAGATGAGCAGGGTCCCCGGGGAAGGGTTGGGCTGGGGGGTGGGCGTGAGGCTGGGGTCTAGACAGCCACACCCGGCCAAAGGACACTAGTAGAGGGCAGAGGCTGTGTGTCCTCACATACAAGGGAACTGGGTGTCTCAGGCACTTGATAAATATTAAGGGCATCTGGTGACTCAGGCTCTCCCTCCGAGAACTGGCCCAGTTTGGGCGAATGAATTGGTCATGGTTGCTGCCACCCCCAGCACCCTGGATTCAACCACATCAGTACCAACACCATGAGTCCCCTTTCCGCTTAAGGATGGCACCAACCTGCTTGAGAGACGCTAGGCTGATCGTGATTTGGGGGTGGCAGTGAAAAGGTTAACTCCGGCTGTCCAGCAAGGCTTGCAGGTAGAGAGGTAAACACGTTCATTAGTCCTGAGTTTAGGGGCTTGGGTTAGAGGGAGGTGGACCCTGACAGTAGCACCTACTGTCACATGTTCAAAGCCACCTGCTTCTCTCTTCCCCTGTTCCCTTTTGTCCTTCACGTGAGGAGCGAGTCACAGTGGACAGAAGAAGGTCAGAACATCCCTGGAGGGAAACCCAGATGTCACCTAGCTCTGCGCCTTTCCCAATTCTCCTTTGCACATCAAGAAAGAAAACCAAAAATCCCAACCAAAACCCATTTCGTGGGAGCTGTCGGAAGCCTATGCTGCCTCCCAGAAGAATAAATATATAAAACAAAGCTCTGGCAGACAGGCCACTGGCTGCAGCAGCCAGCAGTGGCTCTGGTTGTTTCTTTCTTCAAATGCAACTGGAGGCCAAGGTCTCAGGAAGGGTTTTGGGCAGGGAGGTGGACAGACGGTCAAAGGTCCGCAGAGAAAGGGTTCTTCCTGCCTGTGAGTGGCAGCAGGTTCCTGGGAGGGACAGGACGCGAGGCAGCTGTTCATGCCACGTCATCCTCGAGGCGGACCATCTGTCTCTGTCAACGAAACAGCCAACACCGGAAATGATCAATCCAATATTCAGTAAACATGGCTGGAATCCACCTACTTCTCACCCCCTACACCAGACAGTCATCTCTGCCCCGTCTTCCAGTCTGTTCCCCCCACAGCCGCAGAGGGCGCCCGTGAGCACCTGAGTCAGTCCTGTCCCTCTGGGTTCTAAGCAGAGGAGGAACAGGACTCAGGTGCTCATGGGCACCCTCTGGTGGCTCCACCTAATGTGGAACGAAAGCCAAAGTCCTCCCTGTGGTCCACCAAGCCCTGTCACCTCCTCCCGCTCCCCCTGCCTTGCTCTCCTGGCACACTGGCCTTCTCTGAGCTGCTCAAATGCACCAGGCATGGTGCATCCCCAGGGCCTTTGCATGGGCTGCCCCCTCTTACACCAGACACTCCTGCTCAGAGAAGCCCACCCCGACCTCCTCACCTAAAACCACCTCCCCTCCCTCCCAGCCCCCACAAATGCTTCTCTGACCTCCTCTGGCTTTCTTTTTGTCCACCACCCTCTGACTTATGATGTATTTGCTTCCCTGATGTCCCTCTCCCTGCACTAGGAGGATGTCCCGTCTGGGCACGGAGGGTGTGACACTTAGCAAGTGAGTGAGGACACAGATAGAATGTCCACCCAGGACCATCCTGTGTCCTCCCAGGGAGCCCCTGCCTTGTCCTCTGAGGCTCTAATGGCTCCAGCCTCCTGGGGGTGGGGGCGGGGCTCTCACCGAAGGGTAGGTGTAGCCGTCCTGGTTCGGGCAAATGTGGACCTCGTCCTCTGTGGTCTTCTGGTACACAGGGTTGTCAAAGTTGATACTGTTGATGCTCTTGAGCCGCCAGTTTTTCCAGAGGAGGAAGGCCCCGAAACAGAGGAGGACGAGCAGCACTGTGGGGACAGTGGTCAGTCACATGATGTCCCTGAGTGCCCCGGCTCCATGGCTGGAGTGAGGTCACCCAGCATCAGGAGACGCCTGTGACTCCCGGCCCTCTTAGTCGATAATGTTTAATGTTTTAGTTCTGAATTTACTTGCTCATTGTAAAAATAAATTCTAACTTGAAGCCCACTGGGCCTGCCTCGCCCCGAGAACAGCTGACTGTAGTTGACTCTCCTGGGATTCACCCCACATGGGGCTGGTACTTTTGTAGAAGTGGGATTTTTCTCTACAGACAGAGCCACGATTAACTCTTCTATTTTAACATGAGTGGGGCCCGGTTGTTCTTTGATAGCGAAGTCTGTCCCCTCCCCAGTCTTCTTGAGGGTGTCAACCTCGATCTGTCCAGGAGACAGGCAAGGGCTCACTCAGCCTGGGTTTGTGAGATTCTGGCCAGGCCCAGAAGCAGGGAGAGACCCAGGGTCTGTTGGAAAGACCTCAGGCAGTGTCACCCTGCAAAGCCAGGGGAGGTCCCACCTTCCCTGTTTACCAACTCATAGCCGGACAACTGCCAGGCACCGAGAGACAGACCATGGGTCTTTGAGAATGGGCTAGGGGGTACGGACATCTCAAAAGGATGCCCTCAGAAAAGGGAAAAGGGGGCTGGCTGGTTCGCTCAGCTGGTTAGAGCGTGGTGTTGTAACACCAAGGTCCAGGGTTTGGATCCCCATACTGGCCAGCCACCAAAAAGAAAACAAGGGTGACAGGGCCCAGCTGGCTTGGCAGGGCGGGCATGTGGCCTGGGCAAGGGGTGGGAACCAGCCAACACTTACCAATGGGGAGGATGATGGACACAGCCCCCACACTCCTGGGCTTCTCTGCGTTCTCTCTGCCAGCCATGTCACCCAGGACTACAGGGGGAAAAGGACAGAGTGAGGCACAGAAAACAAAGCGAGTGTTTGACGACTGCCACGCAAAGGAAAATGCCTGATGTCTCACTGTCCGGACGAGTTCAAGGCACGTTGGAGAACCTCCCAAGTTTGAGAGGGGCCATGCTGACTTATTTGTGAGTTATGGGATTCAAGGCAGATTTAAGAAGGTCCTTTAGCCTCTCGTTGACCAAACATTGGGGAAGGGCTGAGGGTCTTCAAGACTAAGGCCTGCAGATGCATTCTCAGTGGCTGAGAAGGTCACTGGTGGAATTTTCCAACCTGGTTCTCCATTTTATCAAAATGGGTATATTCTGGATAGGGTAGGAGAACCACATTCTGACCCCAAAATAGTCAGCAATCTCAGTCTCTGGGTTGGAGGGCACCGAAGCCTGATAGGCCTGTGCCCAATGTCTCAGATTAATGAGAAACATTATGGGACGGGAGTAACCTCAGTACCGAACCGTGCCTGTGCGCCTGGGCTATGCAACATAAGGGCCCCAGGCAGGCCAACACTTAAAGTGCCCCAGACAAGCAAGTGGGCTGCAAGGGCTGAATAAACCACACTGCATCGCATACACCAGTGACTGGTGATTTATCATTATCAGTTAGATTCAGATCCATCTGGGTTTTAATACTACCGGCTATAATATGCATGTAGGGTGTTTATACCCAGTTTAACTTTTATTCATATTTAAGAAAAAAATGTGTGATAAAAATAATTAGGGAAACAATGGGATCTTTCAGAATTTTACCCCCTTAAAGGACTCCTTTGCCAAATTTGAGAAGTCCCAGATGGGCCAGTCTGTGAAGTGCTTTTTTAAGCAGTGACACCCCCCTTCCCCCAAGCGAGGTTTGCTGGACTTCCTCAGTCACAGCAGTTCCAGTTTATCTTGTTCGTGGCTGAACAAAAGCTTCAGCTCCTCTGGAAAAAACCTTTTTTATCTAAAACTTGCTAATGGGCTTTTTTTGGCTAGAAAAGTCTAGGAACTCCATTACAGACTGCTCACACCAGGTCAGTTGCCCTCTGGTGGACAAACAAGTGAAAGACCGATCAATTCACAGAACAGTGAGGACTTCCTCAGCCATTGAACTGAAGGGGGCAGCAAAGAACTCAGTAATCCAATAATATTTTAATGTGTTATTTTAAAAAATCAAAATTAATGCAAAAACCCCAAGCTGAATAAAACATCAAAATTTTCAAGAAAGACAAGAGGATCCTGTCTCATTGGAACCTTGGCTCCAATAAAAATATTCAAAACCAGGTGGCCAACCCATGGACTGCAGTCTGATGATTTGATCTCTTAAAACACATTGCATGGGTGCCAGCCAGTTAGTTCAGTTCATTAGAGCACAGCCTTATAACACCAAGGTCAATGATTTCCTGTACTGGCCAGCTGCCAAAAATATATATATTTATGGCATGGAAATACTACTGGGTTCCTAAGTGTTTTGGTGCCCCCATTAAACACTGCATATTGAGGATCACCATACCCTCGTCATGGCACTGCTGAACAATGCCTAAAAATAAGGCAGCAAATGGACCTTGATAAAATATCAGACTCCTGGGTCTCCACTCCTGGTCCACTCTAGGGAACAGCGGTTCAGGCTCTTCACATGAGTTAGCCCATTTAGTCCCCAGGAGGTAGGCAAGTACTAGTATTAGGCCCATTTTATAGGTAGGAAAACAGGTTTCAGAGACAGTGAACAAAGAAGCCCCCACAGCCACTATGTCTTCACCAAAATGCCCACGGTCTCTGAAGGGGCCACTGGTCCCAATGAACCAGGGGCCACAGAGGACCCAGCCTTTACCTTGGTGGGACATTGTCACCGTCTCCACTGTGTTGAGCTCAGGGATGGCCACAGGCTGCTGGGACATGCTGGGAGCAGGTGGGCTGGCTGTGTGCTTTGGGCCCCTGGGTGCAGAGCTGCCCTTCGGCCTGACTGTGTAGGTACCCTGGGTGGTCACTACAGGCTCAGGCTCTGAAAGAATAAATATATACACAATGGAATACTATTCAGCCTTAGGAATGAAGAAAATCCTGTCATTTGTGATAACATGGATAACCCTGGAGGACATAATGTTAAGTGAAATAAGTCAGACATGGAAAGACAACTACCCCATGATCTCACTTATATGTGGAATCTAAAACAGTTGAATTCTGGGCTGGTTGGTTAGCTCAGTTGTTATAATGGTGTTATAACACCAAGGTCAAGGGTTCGGATCCCCATACCAGCCAGCCACCAAAAAATATAGAATAAAAAAAATTAAAAAGTTGAACTCACAGAATCAGACAGTAGAATGGTGGTTACCAGGGGCTGGCTATGGGGAATACGGAGATGTTGGTCAGAGGACACAAAATTTCAGTTAGACAAGAAGAATAAGATCCAGAGACCCATTGTAGGACTTAGTGACTATAGATAATAACAATGTATCGTGTACCTCAAAATTGCTGAGAGTAGATTTTTTTTTCTTTCCTTTTTGTCGTTTTTCGTGACCGGCAACGGGATCGCAACCCTCGGTGCCGTGCCTGCACCTCGCTCAGCCAGTGAGCGGCAGGTCTGTATGTGGGATCCGAACCCTCGGCGGGAGCGCCACCGCTCTCCCACGCGGCGCACTGTAGCAGTGTGCCACCGGGCCGGCCCTCTGAGAGTAGATTTTAAGTGTTCTCATCACAAAAAAAGTAAGTGTGTGAGGTAATATGTATGCTAATTAGCTCAATTTAGCCATTCTACAATGTATACCTATTTCAAAACATGTTGTACACAATACATACATATAATTTTTATTTATTAAGTAAATAAATAAAAATCAAAAATTTTAGCAGGTCTGTATGTGGGATCCGACCCCTCGGCGGGAGCGCCACCGCTCTCCCACGCGGCGCACTGTAGCAGTGTGCCACCGGGCCGGCCCTCTGAGAGTAGATTTTAAGTGTTCTCATCACAAAAAAAGTAAGTGTGTGAGGTAATATGTATGCTAATTAGCTCAATTTAGCCATTCTACAATGTATACCTATTTCAAAACATGTTGTACACAATACATACATATAATTTTTATTTATTAAGTAAATAAATAAAAATCAAAAATTTTAAAAATTTTTACAAGCTTCCTTCAACAAAATTGTGAAGATATTCAGATCCCTGTACTGGCCAGCTGCCAAAAAAAAAATTTGTGAAAATGATTAAAAGCCCGTATTTTCCAGTTAGAATAACATGCACATTTTGTCCAGCAGGCTTCTTGGCAAAAATACGCATGCCAAGAAAATAATGTGCTTTACAGAGAGGGAACAAAAAAGAATAAATATTTTCTGAGGGCTGCATGCCCTGGTTCCATTCTGATAACTCCCTGCTCCTAATGACACATAGGAAACAAAGGCCATCTGCCACCAAGAAATAACTGAAAATGAATGCACTGAAAATAAATGCCCATGGATATCTACGTTGTGATCACACTGTTATCTGTTGTCGTTGTACAAAAGGGAGTGTACACATGTTAAGGACACATTGGCCCCAAATCAAGACTTTCTTGGGTTAGCGCAGTTAGTTAGAACACAGAGTTGGTAACACCAAGGTCAAAGGTTCAGATCCCCCTACCAACCAGCCACCAAAATAAATGAATGAATGAAGTAAAAAAAAAAAAAAAAAAAAGACTCTCAGAATAGGAGAATTGATCAGATCCCCCTACCAACCAGCCCCCAAAAAAAATGAATGAATGAAGAAAAAAAAAAAAAAAAAAAAAGACTCTCAGAATAGGAGAATTGACAAAAGGGCCATCTCCTTACTTAACACCTGACACCTTTGTCTAAACTCAGATCTCTTCCCCAGGGTCTGGGAAAGAGGGGACTAGACCCCAAAGGGCAACCAACCAGGACTGAAACAGTGCCAATGCACCGGCATGCAAGAAAGGCAAGGTATTGTGACCCCAACAACTCACGAGTTCTTACAACAGCCTCAAGGTACCCATTTGCAGATAAGCAAAGAGAGGCTCAGAAGGGTCCAGTTGCAGGGCCCAGCTGCACAGTGGCAGAGATGAGACCCACATCCCCACCTGTGAGGCAGCTCCTCATGTCCTGGGCCAGTAGCAAGCCGTCGGGGCAGGCACAGGTGAACTTGGGCGAGTGGGGGTTGATCTGCGGGGCCGGAAGACACAGATACTGGCAGCCACCATTGTGGAGAGCTGTTTTCTCACACCAGTTCACCCCTGGGGTGGAAGAAGTGGGGTTTCAGAGAATCATCAGGTAGACTAGAAAATTCCAGAACATTCCAGAATTTTCCAGAGTGACAACAAGGAAGTTTCATGGGTAGGAAGTGAGGACAACCCATCCTTACCTCTTGGCTGTGTGAGGTTGTGGAACAGGACAATGTCCTCTGGGGATAACAGGTTTTCAGCCACCAAATTAACATCTGAGCCAGTGAGACGGTTGGCACTGAAAATGGCTTCGTTGATGACATCTGTCCAAAATACTTTGTCCTACAAGGGGCATTAAGAAGATGAAAAATCCCAATAACCACCAGGATAGGACACAGATCACTGTCTCCCTCTAATCTCTGGGGTTCCCTGGGAAAAAGCAATACTAACTAGGTTATAGCATCAGTTCTTTTTTTAAAAAAGGTTTTAACTGTGGTAACATACACAGAACACAAAATTTTTACCATCTTAAACATGTTTGAGTGCACAGCTCAGTGGCATTAAGAACATTCACATTGTGGTACAATCATCACCATCCATCTCCTGAACTTTCTCATCTTCCCAAATGAAACCCTGTCTTCAGTGAGCCAGGAATTTCCTCAAGCTCCTGAGTCTCACCTCAAAGACAGCCACGGAGAAGGGGTGTGCCAGCTTTTTCTCATCCTCCAAGATGGTCTTCCGATTACCTCCGTTGACATCAATGCTGGAGATGGAGTGCAGTTTGGAGTCGACCCAGTAGAGGCGGCCATTGGAAAGATCTAGAACACACAGGTGGACAAGGAGAGGTCACATGCCAGATGCCAGAGGAGCCACTCTGCTCCCGCAGGAAGAAGCCCCCTGAAGGATCCAGCAGAGAAGCGTCCAGAAAAGCAGCAGGGACAATGTGTGAGCCTGATCCCTACACCGTGACTTTGTCCTGTCTCCCCTGTCCCCTGTGACACTCTCCCAGCTGCACAGCCGGCATGGCTGAAGGTGATAAAAACCTCAGGCAGCAGCATGGACTGGCTCAGGAGCCATGAGGCCACTCCCTTCTGTCCTGCAGACTCTGCCCAACACTGGCAGGAATAAGCGTCGCTCCAACATACCCAGGGTGATGCCATTGGGCCACTGGATGTCTTCGGTCACCAGTGAGTACACATCCACTCCGTTCAGGCCCCCTTTCTCGATCTTGGCAGGGGTTCCCCAGTCAGTCCAGTACATGAATCTAGTGGGAAAATAGCGACAGAGATATGAGGACACCCAGCCCGGGAGCCTTGTGCCCACTGCAAAAGAGCAGCTTCCACTGGAAATAGCCAGGCCCTGCTGGGGACCCTAAATTTGTTGTTTTTGCTCCCCTAACCTTGCCTAACCCAGAACCTGGGGAGACCTGGGAGGATTCTAGAACCTTTGAGTCAAGGAAGATTTGGATTCCAAAGGTTGAGACAGGAGCTCTAGAATCTGCACTTGGAACAGTGCTCTCTAAAGACATTTTCTTTTTATATATATATTATTTTGCTTTTCAAATACTTTTTGAAGATTTTTAATGGTGATAAAATACAGATAAAATAAAATTTACTGTCTTAACCATTTTTGAGTGTACAGTTCAGCAGCATTAAGCACACTCACATTGCTGTGCAGTCGTCACCATCATCTCCAGAACTTTCCATCTTTCCAAACTGAAACTCTGTCCCCATTAAACACTCCCCACCCCCCTCACCAGTCTACTTTCTGTCTCTGTGGTTCTGACGACTCTAGGGACCTCCCATGAGTGGGATCATACAGTGTTTGTCCTTTTGTGACTGGCTTATTTCTCTCAGCACAGGCTGCTGTCCCAGGTTGTCAACGCCCCTCTGAAATTGTGATATTCCACCTTTTACGTGCCCAGGTGGGAGATGTAGCCTGACAGGTACAGAGTATGCAGGGCAGGGGGCAGGGAAAACGCTTCCTGCCAGGTCACTGTGTCCTGGCCTGGACCAGCTGAGTCAGCCATGGGTGTCCCCGGCATCCACCCACTGGGGCTCCACAGAAGTTACAACCTTCACTTGCTGTCCCATGACAGAGTGTCACCTACAGAAATCTCCCCAAACTAACTTCATAGAGGACCTCCATATTTTTCTCTCCCTCCAATCCTATCCTGGGCTAGGAGACTCTGACCCCAAACACTGATGAAATGTGTATTTTCAGTTCCAATTCAATTTCTAATTTCTGATTAGGATTAAATTCTAACATTCACTGAAATGACTATTTTAGTTTCTGGTTTTGAATTTTTAGCCCGAGGTCCGCTTCTATCTCAGGCAGCACAACAGACGTTGAGAAAGATCTCTCTCCTGTGGCCTCCAAAATGATTGGACCTCTGTGGCCTCCAAAGGGCTGTGGGGAAAGTCAACCACTTCGGGTTCCTATTCCTTTCCTGACAGCGCGAGGCCCTGCCACCTCTTCTCTGCCCCTAACTTGGGGTATCTCAGGTACAAACATTCCCCCTGAGTCCCGGGTGGCTCTTGAATCCCCCACCTATGCCCCTCACTCCCTCTGGACCCCTCAGCTTTGGGGACACGCACCCGTGGACAGGGTCCACCACAATGGCCCTGGGCTTGGAGCCTTTTTCCTTGAAGAGTGTTTTCCTCTTCAGGCCCTTGGTATCAGCCACAGAGACGGTGCCCAGGATGGAGTCGGTCCAGTATATGTGGCCATGGATCCAGTCCACAGCCAACCCATCGGGGGCCTGGAGGTCCCTGCTGATGATGGTGTCGTAGGAGGAGAGACTGTGGGCTCTGTCGATCTGGGTGCTGAGGCAGAAGGGACAGTATCACGGTGAGGATCTCTCATCTCAGTGGGGGGCCAGGGCTGCCCGGGGGGAGTCAGGGCTCACCTGTAGATCTTCCTCTGGGACAGATCAGACCAGTAGATTCTGTTGCTGGCCACCTCCGTGTCCAGGGCGACCACATTCTTCAGGTTTGGGATGAGGCTGGTGTATTCGCTGCGGTCGAGGGTCATCCTGCGCACCTCATGGCGGTTGGTGAAGAAGAGATAGGCGATGGAGCCTGGGGACCGGGAAAGGGCGGTCAAGGGAACAGAAGAGATCACTCGATGGAGCCAAGAGCACCTTGCCTCCCCTACGTGTTGCTCTGCAGGGTGGGGCGGAACCAGGAGACACCCTGATCCTCCCTGGTGCATTAGCTGTGCGTTTCGGCTGCTGTGACATCGGGGACCTGGCCAACCCTGGAGGGACAGCTCCTCCCAGGGCTACTCAAAGAGCCCACCTCTGCCTGGCTGGTTAGCTCAGTTGTTTAGAGTGCAGCCTTATAACACCAGGGTCATGGGTTTGGATTCCGGTACCGCCCAGCTGTCAATAAATAAAATCTTCACTATAAAACACCAAGGCTCCAGCATTTTCATTTCAGAATATAAAGATGAAGTAGGGCTGGTTGGTTAGCTCACTTGAGAGAATGGTGTTGACAACACCAAGGTCAAGGGTTCAGATCCCCATACCAGCCAGCCTCCAAAAAATAAAATATAAAGATGGAGAAATGATCATGCCTAATGTTTAGGGAGCAATACCTAAAGGATGAGAATTCTGCATAGTGTTTTTTATATATCATGTTTTCCCTCAATGAATCCCCACAGTCCTAAGAGGTAGGGGCTATTTTTAACCCCCTTTTACAGATGAGAAGATTGAGGCTCAGAGAGGGAGAGTGACTTGCCCGAAGTCACACAGCCTAGTGAGTGGCAGAGTCAGAATTCAAACCCAGGTCTCACCAACTCCCAGGGCTGTGCTCTAACCATAACACCACATTCACTCAGCAAACTGACCCCTTCTGTGAGTGGACCTCGTGCAGAATTATCCCTTCCCGAGACGCCATCTCAGCCCCTGGGAATGGCATCTTTATAAATGAGATGAGTTTCAAAGTGAAATCACCAATGCTGGAGGACTTCATGAACTCATGGAAAGTGACATCAGGGAGCCATGCACCCCACCTGGCAGAACTGGGGTGCACATGAGATGTACACAGGGAGCCCAGGAAGTCGTGGGAAGAAATGGCAGCAGACGAGAAAGACCCTTGGGTAAACAGAAGATGCTATAAAATATTTCTGCACCAAGGTCAGGGGTTCAGATCCCCTCACTGCCAGCTGCCAATAAATAAATAAATAAACAAAATATTTCTGCCAAATTGATCCTTGTGATCAGACAGGAAGGATAAAACATGAAGCAAAGTGCATCTGGGTGTCTGGACAACTTCACCAGGACAGTTACCCCTCCAGAAACACAGACACATTGATTTAGGGGATGCTAAGAGCGAGTGCTTGGTGACAGCGATAATCTAAACTTCAGGGCAGAAAAAAAAGCAACTATTTCTATGATTTTGTTTCATGATGAGCAAATATTTTGGTCTCTGTTTGAAATGGATTTGCTTTTGTTGGTATACACCCCATGAGTTAGTAAGAACAGCTGGAGGGGGTGCAGAAACGTTGGCAAGGGCTTTCCACCTTTTGTCCCTTTGAAGTCACTCCCCAAATTGTCCCAGAAAGGACAGCAGTTTCCTGTCCCGCCACCAAGGCTACGGACTGGAAACTGTCCTCACACCCCATGGCATTAACCAGTGACTTCCCTCCTGGGATGCCCAAGTCCTAACTGGGCTAAACTTTATTTAAACTTCAGCATCCACTAATAAAGTTTGAGCCCTCTGGCAGTTTATCCACCTGCCAGAGGTCTCAAAAGCAAACAGGCTGCCAGCCAGGTGATCTTAGTCTGTGCGAAGTTCGGATGGTGATATTCCCCACCGCACTGGCTGGCGAGAGTGACACCAGCTCCACCCGCCCACCGCCTTCCTGCACCCACCTGCAGCTTTGCAGGCCTTGGTGCTGGAGTCCAGCTGGAAGCCCTCCTCACACTCGCACTTGAAGCCGCCCTCCAGGTTCACGCACAGCTGGCTGCAGGTGTCCGGGTCCTGACACTCGTCGATATCTGTGAGTGGGACCAAGAAAAAGGTTCGGGACATATTCCCCACAGTATGGAGCCGTGGGGCCCAGACCAAAACCCAGGGCTCGCCACAGCAGCAGGGGACAGCCCATCTGCCCTGGGGAACACAATCAAAGAAAGAGCCAAGTGTCATCCCCAGCGATGACCCTGACCTCACCATTCACCTCAGGGGCCCAGCCAAGACAGCAAAACTGCATCACACATGATTTCTTAATTATTAATCCCAAAAGGCAAGAACCTCCAAGAGACCCAGACCTTGTCTCAGGGTCGGCCTGTCCTAAATGTTCCTCATATGTGGCATCTCATTAAAACCTCCTGGTTAGGGCCGGCCCAGTGGCGCACTCAGTAGAGTGTGGCACTTGGGAGCGTGGCGGCGCTCCCGCCGAGGGTTCGGATCCCATATAGAGACCAGTCCGCTCACTGGTTGAGCGCGGTGTGGGCACGACACCGAGGGTTGCGATCCCGTTGCCGGTTGCAGTACGGGCGCAACACCGAGGGTTGCGATCCTGTTACCGGTCACGAAAAAAGACAAAAAGGGAAAAAAAAAACAAAAACAAAACTCCCGGTTAGCACAGTTGGTTGGACCGCAGTGCTGTAACACCAAGGTCAAGGGTTTGGCTTCCCATACTGGTCAGCTGCCAAAAGCAACACTCCTAACAGCCCGATGAGGTAGGGACTGTTTTCATGCCATTTAATAGATAGTGAAACTAAGGCATAGAGTTTGGCTTCCATGTGGGGAAAAGGCAGAGGAACCTCAGAGCCCAGCCCTGCTCGGGAATCACCTTTGCATTGTCGCTGATCCACCAGGCGGAAGCCACCAGGGCACAGGCACTCATGGCCGATCTTGAGGTCGTTGCAGATGTGGGAACACCCTCCGTTGTTGTCCAAGCACTCGTTGGTCCCTGCACCAGATGGGGGGGCACAGACCATCACTCTCAGGCCTCCAGCCATCCCTTCTCTGCCACCCTGTGCTATTTCACCATCTTTATCCCAATCTTGACAACGACTTAGAAGATGGTGCAGTAACACAGCCCATAAGAAGACTTACATAAAAATGTCACATGCTGCAACATGACAGCCTTGGGGACATTATGCTCGGTGAAATAAGCCAAGCACTAAGGGACAAATACTGTGATTCCATGTATAGGAGGTCCCTAGAGTCATCAGATCCACAGAGACAGAAAGTAGAACAGTGGGTGCCAGAGGCTGGGGGAGAGGGATGGGGAGTGAGTGTTTAATGGGGATAGAGTTTAAGTTTGGGAAGATGAGAAAGTTCTGGAGATGATGGTGGTGATGGTGGTATAATAATGTGAATGTGCTTATCAACACCGACCTGTGCGCTTAAAAATGGTTAAGATGGTAAGTTTTATGTTATATGTTTTTTACCACAATTAAAATATATACATATATATGTATGTGTATATATGTATACACACACACACAAAAAAAACAGCCACATATCACTTACTACAGTTAACGTGTATTAACTCACGTAATCCTCCCAACATGGGCTGGCCGGTTGGCTCAGTTGGTTAGAGCACTGCCTTGTTGTACCAAGGTCAAGGGTTCAAATCCCTGTATCGGCCAGCCACACACAAAAAAACAAACCCACCCAGCAACCCTAAAAGTAGCTGAAATACAGCTGGGGAAACTAAGGCATGGTCAAGTTAAGTGACTTCCTCAAGATCAACCCAGGGCATGTAGCTCCAGAATCTACGCTCCTGCTGTCTACCCAGGCCTGGGCCAAAGCTGGCCTGATGCCTACTGTTGTATATCCTGCAAGTTAAGAATGGTTTTTACATTTTTAAATAGTTGAAAAGAAAAATAAGAATCAAAATAAAAATATTTCATGACATGTAAGTTATATGAAAGTCAAACTTTTTTGGGATGGGTAAAATCCAAAACCTCTCAAGACAGGGGCTAGCCAATAGCTCGCGTGGTTAGAGCATGGTACTGATAACATGAAGGTCAAGGGTTTGGGTCCCTGTACTGTCTAGCCACCAAAAAAAAAGAAGAATTTGCCTATTTTAGAATTTGGTACTGATAACATGAAGGTCAAGGGTTTGGGTCCCTGTACTGTCTAGCCACCAAAAAAAAGAAGAATTTGCCTATTTTAGAATTCATTTTTTTTTTTTTAAAGATGACCGGTAAGGGGATCTTAACCCTTGACTTGGTGTTGTCAGCACCACGCTCAGCCAGTGAGCCAACAGGCCATCCGTATATGGGATCCGAACCCGGGGCCTCGGTGTTATCAGCACCGCACTCTCCCGAGTGAGCCACGGGCCGGCCCTAGAATTCATTTTTTTAGAAAGAATTCTAACAAAATATCTATTAATGGTCACCTCGGTGGGTCATAGACAGCTACTGAATACAAGCATCACATGGGTCAATTCCCATCAGCTTTAAGATAAGTGAGCAACTACTGGCCCATCTGACAGATGTGAAAATT